AAAAATTCATAATAAGAAAAAAAAGTCACACTGTGATATGCAAAGATGCACTGTGACAAAAAGTCACAATAAGAAGAAACAAAGTCACTTTGCGTGATAAGTCACATCATGGAGTTATAAAGTTGCAGTTATGAGAAATAAAGTCACCATGCACAATTAGGAGAATCAAAGTTGCATCGCGAGATATAAAAAGTTGTGATTACAAGAAATGATGTAACCATGCACAAATAGGAGAAACAAAGTCGCATTGCAATGTATAAAGTTCCAATTACGAACCAAAGTTGCAATTATGAGAAATAAAGTCACCATGATCAACTACAAAAAACAAAGTTACCTTGAGAGATAGTCACATTGTGAGATATAAAAAGTTGCAATTACAAGAAACAAAGTTGCCTTAAGAGATATAAAGTCACAATTATGAGATAGAAAGCTGCACTGTGAAAAAATCACTTCGCTAGATAAAAGGTTGCAATGCAAGGTGTAATAGGGAGATATAAAGTCACATTGTGAGATATAAAGTTGCAATTACGAGAAATAAAATCACTTGTGCTGCAAGATATAAAGATGCAATTACATTCTTTTAATATTGTGAGGTGGAAACGGTCTACTACAATTTGGCTTCACAGAGGATGACATGCTGACTCGAAAAATGGCAACTGTAGTAATCAGAACCGAGCACAACCACCTCATTAACAAGCCTCTGCCATTAAGGAAGGCTCGGCAACTCAAAATGACACCAATCCAGAGGCCACAGTGTGTTTATGTGACGAAAGATCACTTCAATTAACCTTGACACAGTCAAAACAGCCTCTTAAATAAAAACAAGAAACAGACTGTACACAGACAGTCCAGTGAAAGGGCAACCAGCAGTGATGATTATGCGGAAAAGCCCAGGGAAGGGGGGGATCGGTCAAATGAGTGCAGGCCAGGGCTCCTCTGGGATTGGACGGCAGCGCATTCAGTCATGCAGATACACGCTGAGGTATCCACTATCCAGCAGGAAATGTGTGTTTTGAACAATGGAAGTGAGGAAACGGGGCCAAAAATATATCAGGAAAACCATCTCTCGCTCTTTCCATCTTCAAGTGGTTTGAATTACAAATGAGCATTCTCATCTTCTCACAGAAGGTGCAACCAAATCTAACCTTTAGAAACTAGGCCACCAGAGAATACAGGTGCTATGGGATGGGGCGGGTTGGCTTCTCAAAACACTCGGCATTGATCAAACAAGAACAGTACAATCTTCAACAAAGGTTATGTTGTACATGGATCTCACATTAAGCATCTCACACTCAAATTCTGTACTATTTTGTGTGAATAAAAAAAAAGCACTAAAATAAAGTGTTTTAAATGCAACAAGTGAATTAAGGCAACATAATAACACAACTCAGTGCGAGTTCACATAGCTTATCTGAGCAACCCGGGGAGCTGATACAATCCAAGCCCTCATGACACTGGACACACACAGTGGCAAATTAATCAAGCTCCAACTGTTTAATCATGATGAACTTTATCTGGGAAACCAGACCAGCGAAAAAGTTGAATCCGCGGACAGAGAAAATACTTTTTCCTCTGTACAAACATTAGAAAACCAGATTTTTAGATATTCCTGAGTGGTGCTGCTATGATGTTAAGAATAATTCTCTTTAGAGGAAATAAGATTAAATAAAAGAAAAAATAAATATTAGATGAACAAATACAAGTAACAGTAATGGTTGCTTGAACAACTAAAATACTGTGCATAATTTCCTTCTGTTTTTACATTTATAATAATTATGCCATCATCTAATATTCAAAGCATTAAAACCTAGGCCTAATCTTTAAAAACACTAATAACACCGTTAAATGTAACCTTTTAGAAAATCTCAAAAAGTATAATGTACATTATTATGTTGCCTTAATTCACTTGTTGCATTTAAAACACTTTATTTTAGTGCTTTTTTTTTATTCACACAAAATAGTACAGAATTTGAGTGTGGGCTGTAAATCAGTTATTGACTGATTGTATTAAGTCTTATTGTATTAGCCACAACTTCAATAATTATTCAGATAATTATTTAGCAGCTGTGGATAGAGTTGAACTTCCAGGGCGGACATTCCTTTAATTGCACAGGCTTATTTTATTGATTTTTACAAGCAGAACTAAACGTCTCTCTTAAAATCTCTGTTGAAAGCAAAAATTGCTCCCACACGGCCTGCTCTGCACTTTCTCAGTTTAAAGCAACACATCTAATCCACGGGAGCATCACGCACATGTAGCTGAGCTTAGCTCTTCGCACAGTTCACCAGCAGTCTGTTAAACTGTGCCAGGCCTTAAAAAGGTAGAGCAATCAGCACATCTGTTAAAACAAGGCCAGACAAAGATTGAAAAAAAAAACAGGGTAAGAGCACACAGACTGGCTGCTGGGATTACAAGTAGTAGTTGTTTTTGGAAGCCGTGTTTTCTCTGACAATAACACTTACGCTCTTGGCAAAAGCTTTTGTGCTTTCAAATCAGGTTACAAAAAAATGTGCATATCGCATATGAGACAATTAGTACAAACACAATGCTCATGGAGCCAAAAACACCACAGCACACAAACTACACAATATCAGATACAAGTCAAGCAGATCAAGGCATCTGAGAGTCTGTTGATTCCAATCACAGTATGAGTGATTGAAATAAAAATGATAGTGACAGCCACGTGAGCTGGCCAGCACGGGTGGCACTTTGAGCTACAGTACATTGAGATATCTTTTAAACCCTTTCAAGTTCAATAACCTTTAAGATGCATGTTTGTGATAAGACCAATATGATAATGTCAATCAATCAAACCAGCCAACCAACTATTATCTCTCAAAAAACAAGTTTAAATTTAAGTTTAAAGGCTTAAATAGTGTGTGTGTAAAGATATATGTGTGTGTGTGCGTGTTATATGAAAATATATATAATAAATCATTTATATAACAAAAACCATAATAATAATCGCTTTTTCTTCAAATTTTGTGAGTCCTCAAAACTGTCTGATTAACTCTCTCCCCTCAGTGATCTCTCTATCCATCCATGTAAAGCACTATTAGATGCTCCCACAGGATGCCAGCAAGACAATTAAGCCAATAAAAACAGATATCAACAGATACCAGGCCAGGATTTGACACCACTATGAAACATCCAAAATTATGCAGACAATCAATATATGAGGATGATGATTGTTTTTATTGATTCTTTTGAGGTTCAATGCTGACTCCATCTTTAAACACAGAATTGATCTGATCCCTCCTTCAACATATACAGCGGGTTTCAAGGAACATTGGGTGATTGGGAACATAATTAATTTCACATTCTTTTCTTAATTTAGTTAATCAGGTATTAAATTGACTTCTCTATAAACATTCAATATCATCTACTGTACATCTATCTATCTCTACATAAATCTATACCTAATTAAATATTATGATATAAATATATGTGCTGTTTAATAAGTTTACACAGGCTGTTTACATTTTTTTCATAACTGAAAAAGTAATTGTGCTAATATTTTCTGTTAGAACCATCAAATGTCAGCTCCGTCACACAAAATGTAAATATTTGGGATTTTAGATACTTTTCCTCATCTTATAGCAGCCAGCAACATCAGAAACACAAAATGGCTACTGCATTTAATAAATGGGTGATAAATAAAAATGTGGTTATTTTTTTCAGCAAGACCTGTCTGACTTAAAGTGGTGAAAATTCAATATGAAACCACCTTGTGGTCTCAGTACATTGAATTACATTTGTCAGTTATGAAGAACGTGGCACATCATTTCTGTATTGTTTGATGAATTGAGTGGTATGCTAGGAAAAACACAAATGTTATAAGAAAACTGAAGATTGAACACAAACATGCAGGTGAAAACCTCTGAACATATTAAACCTATTAATCCAATTCAACTCTCTGATATAAATACAAGATTCTGTAGCATCTTCTGTCCCACCATGTCTCAAAAATCAGTGCAATTATCTCATTTCCGAGAGTATCTTGTCAAGTATCTCGTATCAAATTCGAGTCTGCTGTTCCCAACCAAGCATATTAATACAGCAAATGTATTTGAATGCCCTAATATCAGGATAATGTGATTCAAGCAGCCTAGCTCATAAGAAATCAGTGCACGCTAGTGCTACAATGTCTAATACACATTACTCAGTCTTACCTGCCAAAGCATCGGGCTCCAGACCCGTTTCGTTGTCTATTCCGCATATAACGAAGTAATGTGCGAAGCGACAGGGCGCTGACCCAGAGCCGCTCATAGTCGCGCTCATCTCGGCTCGAGCTGATCCGCTTTGTCCGCGTCTGTTAAACAGACCCAACCAGCTCCATATCCAGCGTCCTCGTGCAAATGCAATAAACCAAAGCGCCGTTTTAATGAAAGCTGATTGCTAAGAATTCGTGCAGTGAGCTTCGGAGAGCAGTCTATGTAGAAATGATTAGATTTGAAGAGCGTTTAGCTGTGGCTGTTTTCAGGAGCGCACTGACTCACCGCTTCAGCTGATCACGCTCAGCCAATCCAGACCTCGCAAATGTTTCGCCACAACTATTTGTTTGAGAAGGAGCGTGCAATGATGTAAGCCGTGTCTTTTAAATGTTGTGATGATAAATAAGCACATTTTTTCATAGATCAAATACGATTTTACAAATATCATTGCATCAGATCGTCTGTGAAAAATATATTTAGACTATCAGCTGCTTTGTTTCCAGTCCATGTCTGATTTGTTTCACAATAATTACAACAAATATGTAAAACTGTTTGTTCATGTTCACGATGGTGAGATAAAAGCAAGTTTTCATTAAACTAAATGCCACATTTATATATATATATATATATATATATATACCATTCACACAAATTCGACATTAATTTTCTACTACTACTGCTTATAATAATAATGTAGCTGTTATTGATTATTGTATTATGATTTTTGCTGTGATATATCACGCTTTGAATATCCTTGCTCATTTGATATAAATCTGCTATGTAATATAAAAATATTCACAAAAATATTCACGATGTAACGTTATCGTCCAAGTAGCATATTGCAATATCGCCCTCTGTTGGTTCATCCGATGTATCGCTAGAGCATCTTTTATTTATTTATTAATTTTTTTTATTAAACATAGAATACAAGAACTTATTGCTAGAGCATCTGTATAGAGTGGGGGAGCTGGTTCCTTCGACAAAAAAGCCTATAGGATTTTTCCATAGGCTTTTGGATTATCGCAAAAAATAAGCTCTGTGTTCAACCATAGTTCATGAAACTTACACGTTTTGTCCATCAAGATAATCTTCACAAATTAATATAACTTTGATGAATTTTGAAGCCTAAATAAAAGCGCCAGAACTTAAAAGCTAAACTTAGGCTATAAACAAACTACAGCACCACGGTCGCTGGCCACCACCACCACCTGCTCCCGACAACTTCTGCAAACTTATTTTTAACACGTTCAGTGAAACGTATTTAGCTTACTCTGTATAAGAATTTTAACCCACGCTACATGAACCTTTTCATATAAACTGGAATAAATACAAAAATAGAGCCAAACTAAAACTGAGACATTAATAGTAAATAGTATAGTGAATAAATGGAATAATCATAACTAAAGGACATATGAAAGCACGTACATTTCAAAATAAGGTGCATTAAAGGTCAATAAATCCTTGATTAATATGAGTTTTAATTTAAAACGTGTCTCCACCACTGATCTATAATAGAGAACATTACATATATATCAGTGGTCTCCACATAGGCTACTATTCAATAACATTCTAGTGCATTTAATCTATTAAATAACAGCAGAGTGAGCGAGTTTTTGGATATGGTAAGATTAAATGTATTTTAGTGAATAAAGTACCACATTTCAGCTTTGTTAGGGTAGGTAGCCTACACAAAATGTATTTTCATTTAAAACGTGTCTCCACCACTGATCTATAATAGAGAACATTACATATATATCAGTGGTCTCCACATAGGCTACTATTCAATAACATTCTAGTGCATTTAATCTATTAAATAACAGCAGAGTGAGCGAGTTTTTGGATATGGTAAGATTAAATGTATTTTAGTGAATAAAGTACCACATTTCAGCTTTGTTAGGGTAGGTAGCCTACACAAAATGTTATTTTATCCTTGCTTCTAGAAAATCCTCATATGCTTTCTAACAGCTGCTTGTGGCCGTGAACATTTCATTTTAACCTGGCTTTAAGCACTATGCATCGTTAAAATTTCACTTTCACCGCGACTAAAATGTGGTGTTTACATGGAATAACCGTAATATGAGTTTACCTTATGGCAGAGGTGGACAGTATAATACGATACGATACGATACGATACACTTTATTGTCAGACTGAGTCTGAAATTTGTCTTACGTTACAGCAGGTTCACTCAAGGTTACAATACTTTATCACATAAACAACACAGAATGCAGAGCTTTCACACACATACATAAAAAAAAGGACATTTACTTTTTATACGAGTTATTCAGCGCTAATACAGCTTGATGTACAAATTAATTCTTTAACTTAATTCGGCTGTATCTTGGGACCTTATATCGTCAATTAGATGGCAACAATACAAATTCATTATACAAGGCATGATTAGGTTCAGAAACAATGTTAATCTTACAAGATTATTATGGTAAAATAGTTCATATGCTTTTTAAAGTGGCTGACCCACAATTTTGGATCACATTTTTAGTAAGTTCATTAGCTTTGTTTTTAGACTAACAGATATAGACTCATATACCAAACCGAATTACAGTACTGCAAGACACTCTACAGACATAAAAAACAACAAAAGAATCTGCTTTCTTGCTCCAAATGACCTCAATCTACGGAGAAAGTAAATTCTTTGCATTGATTTTTTACAAATCTATATGATCTCTCCATGATAATGTTTTGTCTATCCATACTCCTAAGTACCTATATGCTTCTACTTGTTTGATGTTCTCTTCATGTATAACAACAGGTGTTGTATGAATGTCAGCAACAGGCCCTAATACTATCTCCTCAGTTTTTTTTTTATTAATACTGAGGGCATTGTTGTCACGCCATTCGACCAATTTGTTTACGCCCTGTTGATGCTGTTCTAAGCACTCTTGGTTATTCAATAATGATATTAACACAGTATCATCGGAGTACTTTAAAATATATTGGTCATTCCTGTTTACTCGACAGTCATCTGTATACAGAGTAAATAACATAGCAGAGCTTACACAACCCTGAGGTACACCAACATTTGTTTTTACTTCTGTTGACAGGACTTTGTTCACTTTAACCCTTTGGGTTCTATTGGTGAGCTGCCTAAGTACATTTACTTTAAGCACATTTACTTGAGTATTGTACTTAAGTACACTTTTTGAGTATCTGTACTTTACTTGAGTATTATTTTTGAGGGAACTTATGACTTTAACTTTTACCTTTAACTAATATGACAAATATTGTACTTTTCACTCCACTACATTTCTATCAAGGTCCCTGTGGGGGTGGGTAGGGGTGTTTAATAATTTTTTTCTTGTTTTGTTTAGTTTTTTCCCCCATAGGTTTTTAACATACAAAAAGCTCTTTATTCCAAAGATACTACAAGCTAGTCAGTGTATTCAGTAGGTGTAATGTTGCTTCAGAAGTAGCAAGTACTACGTACAACAATAAAACAGTACATTGACATAAAAACACACTTCTGTACTTTTACTTAAGTAAAAATCTGTCTTTACAACTTTTACTTGTAATGGAGTCATATTTGACCAGCAGTATCTGTACTTTCACTTATGTAATGGAGTTGAGTACTTTGTCCGCCTCTGCCTTATGGTACGAACCCAGAGTCTCTGCATCAGCGGGAAAGCGATAAAACGAGCATCTTTCATCCGAAGACTTGTGTTGCATTTCGGGGCAAAAAAACCCCAAAAACGAACAACAATATAAAATGCGGGAAACTATTAACTGGTTATTCTACAATTAATTGTATTACAAATTATACTACGACTGAAAAATACTGTAAATTGATAAATTGTTCGGCATGATGACGTTTAATGTCTCCGACAGCGTTTACATCATAGTTCCACCACTCTATTTGTGTGTTAAATGATCCATTATAAAAATAATATATTGGGCATCACTCAGTGTTTTCCAGTGGGCTAAAATGAATTAAAATGATAATAAATTAAATCAAATTCAAACACGATATATAAACGCTATCACTGACACAATAAATAAAAAAAGCACAAATATAAATAAATAAATAAAGTGATGAAATAAATAAAATTTTAAGTGATGAATGTTCTTCAGGGATCCCTCTCTTTTCAATCAATGAATGTACATGGCTTTTTTAGTCATTCATGATTTACTGGTTAAGAATTAAAGATAAGGAACAACAAACAACAAATTAGAATATGGTGACATGCCAATCAGCTAATCAACTCAAAACACCTGCAAAGGTTTCCTGAGCCTTCAAAATGGTCTCTCAGTTTGGTTCACTAGGCTACACAATCATGGGGAAGACTGCTGATCTGACAGTTGTCCAGAAGACAATCATTGACACCCTTCACAAGGAGGGTAAGCCACAAACATTCATTGCCAAATTCTATATCCACTGTATATATAAAGATAAGGATTTATATATATTTATTTAAATGTATCTTTTTTATGTATATATATATATATCCTTATCTTTAATTATCTTTAATTAATCCTTATCTTTAATAGGTCTATTATTAATCGGTAGAAACCCGCTAAAATATTTTAGAGCTTGGCATGACTAGAAAAAAATCTAAAAAAAAAAGTTTAAATTTTAGAGGAAATTAATTAAAATATGATATTTTTAGCTGTTGTAGATTATGCCTAAGCAGGCATAGCAATATTCAGTACAACAACACTTGTTTTGGTTGTTACTAAACCTGTAACAGTGGATAATAAATACCGTATCAATTAAACTGTGGTAACAATAACTGCTGTATGTAGGCAGAAATTGTTAACATGGTAGTATTTCAATTATGACGTAGCTGTTGTGGGAGGGGCGTCGAGGTCTTAACGCTACAATGAAGAATGCCACACTTCACTGCCAAGAGCCAACCATTCCTCAGCACTGGGTCAGTCCAATCCGCAGTGAAAGTGTTCGTCCACCTCCACGATCACGAGCGCAGGTGCTCAGCTGGTGAATATGTAGAAACACGATCTGTGTGATGTGACGCATGTTTAAACCACACCCTGAACACAAAGAACAACCACAGCGCTTCTACACGCCCAACAGAGACTCGAGCACCTGACGCTTCAGCCGCACAAGTCCCGATGGCGGAGGAAGCAGACTTTATGCGGTCTGTGTTGCCCGTTCACGGCGCTTTTCACTCGGTAGATTCATCTTTAGCTTTACCGCAGGCGGACAAGCTCGCGCTCGCGGACGCACACCGGCTGAACCGACTACAGCAACAAGTGCAGCTCACTCTCTCTCGGAAAAGAAAGAAACCAAAACCGCCAGGTATGTGGAATGAAACTGCA